AATTTTTGTCGAGTGGACAAAGACGTGTGCGGCCTAGCATCGTCCTGCTGGAAAATGACACCTTTACGATTGACCAATTCTGGTCGCTTTCCCTTGACCGCTGCATTCAATTTGTCCAGTTGCTAACATTCACGGATAATACAAAATAACATAATAATAATAATAATAATAATAATTTTATAATATAACATTTACGGATATCATAAAAATGGGAGTGAGAGACATCTATAACTGAAATCGGCAATTACTTAGTTGCCAACCCAATACTATAGAGTCTCACGCCGCAGACATTCCGATATTACATACTCGCGTTTTCTGCTGTTTCGAGCCTTCGTTTTAGCAAGAGAACTGTTAAATCTTGAGATTGATGCACGCGGCCTTGTCAGTCGGATAACACGCTCAGAAACACAGAAGCACGAGTTTTAATATTATTAATTTATGGTGGTTTAAAATTTGTCGCCCAGACGTCCCAGTACGTTTGCTTTTTAGCTCGATCTCGATCGCTCGCGACGAGATTCCGTGAGATTCTTATCGGTAGACGTGTCGGCAAAACGTGCACCACGCCATACTATATGAGTATCTAGTGTCTATAGTATCTATACGGTTGGTGTATTCCGACAACGGCTTCTCTCTATTCGATCAGCATTTATTTATTTGTGAGTTCACTGAAGAGAATATATCTCGGCCGACACTCTTTGTTACCACTCGAGTGCAGAGACTTGAAATGGTATTAATTAATAATATTTCGTTGAAAAAAATACCGACGCATTCGTCTCTTTCATCTCAGCGACGGAAAGCCGCTCTCCAGACGCATTGTACCGCAGAGGAATATCGTACAGCGCACACGACGGGCAAACTAGGAAGAGTATCCAGCGGCTGAGTAACGTGATTGCCCGTTCATTCGCTGGTTACAGCGCCGATAAACAACACTGTTAATTTTCAAGCGCGTTCGGCCGGGCCGTTAGCCTTTGCCGCGCGGCCCGATATGATATCTCAATGACGGCTGTTGGATTTGCATCGCATTAGAGGCTCGGTGACCGCGGCGTTAACGAGAAGGGGTGTTAACGAGAAAATGACGGCGGGGCCGTGGACGCCGTGATAGGAGGGAAAAGTGAGAACGGTAACAGCAACGTAACGCTTCCCGTAATTCAGCGGTGTCGCTCGCTTGTTAGGGTTTTTACAGAGCGGCCCCGCTCCGGGAAACCGACGCCAACAAAGCTCCATTCGGCTCGCAACGCCTTTCTAGAACGCGATCATCGCTGCTAAAGGCGTGCACCGTCCGGCTGCCACGGACTACTTTGAATCGCGGCAATTAGAAACAACGCGTCGCCAGACTCTTACACGCTCCTTGTATGAGCTGTTGATTGCTGCCGAGACTGCTTCTACCACATCGGGCCGCGACCGTCTCGGTCTACGGGACTTAGGGGATGCTGATCTTCATGGCACGAAAGTAGAGGTTTCGTCCGGCGATCCGCGAAGATTGCAAGTCATTTGGAGATCCTTTGGTATTGTTCTCACTTGGGAAAGCGACAAATAGTGTAACAGATGGACGCAGAGATACATCGAGTTTAGTGTCCGTCACCTTTGGTCTGTGACTTTCTGACTTGAAAGGGGGATTTTTGAGTTTAGGTTTGGGATGATTAGGGATGATTTGAGAGTTTAGGTTTAGCTAGACATCTTGCAATTCTTGAATTCATAGTTCTACTTGGAGGAACGAAAGAGTGCGATGAGAGAGATCTACACTATGGTTTCTCAAGTTTGGTGTCCATGATCTATGATTCGTGACTTTGAGATCTGGATAGACGTGGTCTAATGATCTGTAGAGTTTCCTAGTTATCTTCAAATCCTCAAATCAGAATATAATATTTTTGTTAGGGGCTGATAGACGTGGTCTAATGATTTGTAGAGTTTAGGTTTAGTTAGACATCTTGTAATTCTTGAATTCATAGTTCTACTTGGAGAAACGAAAGAGTGCGATGAGAGAGATCTACACTATGGTTTCTCAAGTTTGGTGTCCATGATCTACGATTCGTGACTTTGAGATCTGGAAGGTTGTTGATCTTCTCGTTAGAAGCTGATAGACATGGTCTAATGGTCTGTAGAGTTTTCTAGTTATCTTCGAATCCTCAAACTCATAGTTCTATTTGGAGGAACAAAGGAGTGCAATATAAGAGATCTACATTGTGGTTCCTCAACTTTGGTGTCCATTAAATTTGATTCGTGACTTTGAGATCTGGAAAGTGGCTCATCTTTTTCTTAGGTGATGGTAGACATGATCTAATGATCTGCAGAGTTTGCTAGACATCTTGCAATCCTTGAACTCATAGTTATACTTGGAGGAACAGAAGAGTGCAATGTAAAAGATCCACAGTATTGTTTCTCAAGTTTGGTGTCCATGATTTATGATACATGACTTTGGGACCTTATTATTAGCTGTTAGACCTAGTCTAGTGATGAAATAGACGCAGAGGTAGATTGAGTTTAG